TCCTTCCTTCCTTCCTTCCTTTCTCCCTCCCTCCCTCCCTTCCTTCCTTTCCTTCTTCATGTCTTTATAATAAAGTACCACACTTCAAACAGGGAGTAAACACCAAGCCACACTGGATGGACTTGGCAGATGATAAATATGATATCCAACTGATTGACGATATCAAAGCAATGTACCGTGTTTTGTTCATGTTTCTCCCTCTGCCAGTCTTTTGGACATTGTTTGACCAACAGGGGTCCCGTTGGGTTCAACAAGCCCTACAAATGGATGGAGACATAGGTAAGCTCATTCATACTATAYTTCAGCTTTGAGTGGTCTGTCTTTTGCTTAGGGTTTTGGCTTCAATTTTGTGTAGAAATATTCATAAAAATCTTACTCTCACGGAAATAACACATGGTCTAACAATGGGAAAAATTAGGAATAAAGTAAAAAAGATGTATATCTCCTTTTTAATTGCCCTATTTCACTATGACGTCACATCAAAACAATCTTCAACAATCTATTGTTTAAATGCAAAGGATCTTGGTCGTCGAAGGGGGTCAAATCAATGCAAATTCACCGAAATTGTTCTAAAACCCGTATCAATCCACGAAGAGAAGTAGAATAGCCAGTAAACGCTCAGAATATTTTTTAGTACATATTAACACAAATTATATCTGAAAACCAGGCCATTTTAGATTAAACTGTTTCGCTAGGAGCAAATTTTGTTGAATTTTCTATTGGTTTTGGCGATTCTATCCCCCACATAAACAAGCAGTGACGTCATAGTGAATTAGGGCAATTAGGGGGCCTGATTCAGAGGGAGGGGGAGGGGGGAGGGGGGGCTATAGCTGGTTCTCGCCCTCTGGAAGTGAAAACCTAAAAAGTCAGATTGCGGTACTTAATTCTCTTTACATGTTTGCTAAACAACATTCCAACAGTCTTGTCTCTGCCGGGGGAGGGACTATTCACTGTGAACCACGGTCATCTAAATCAATTGGAAATCGCCGAATCCCTATTTTCATTATATTTGACTTTGCCTCTAAAGTGGTCTAATTTGAGCATCTTTTCTTTGCAGGGGTTCTTGGAACGATCAAGCCAGATCAGATGCAAGCCCTCAACGCCGTCTTCATTATTTTACTGATCCCAGTCTTTGAGGGTATTATTTATCCATTAGTAAAAAAACCACGTCCGCTTAAGCGAATGGCCATCGGAATGATGCTAGGAGCTCTAGCTTTTGTTATCGCTGGTCTTGTACAGCTAAAAATCCAAGTATGGTTGGTTTATTTGGGATATTGGAAATATTAGATATGTTTATGATATTGGGATCCCCGTGCTATTTCGGTAGCATGAAAATATACGATTTCCGAGATGCGCGGGCGCTTTCATAATATCGCAGGCGCAGACACGAAAAGAGGAATTTTTTTTCGGGCAGAAAAAGAGTTATAAGCGATTTTGTACAACTCTAAAAAAAAAAAAAGATTTTGCCAGCTATATTTTTTCAATAAATTCATAATCCTGCTTCTAAATTTAAAAGAATTTCATAGTATTCCTTTATTACAACTGTGACAAGATGTTAATAAGATGTTGCCCGAAAATGCCTCAATTTTCTAATCTGGGCACACCTGACAATCTAACAGCGCTTGCATATCGGAAATCGTCTATTGATATATAGCTTTATTATTTAATCTTGCAAAGAACGTGCATAATACGCGAAAAGATCATGCCTGATATGAGACCGTATCAGCACTGCTCATCTGCTTGCGATCTGGTACGATAGAGTTTAGAGGGAGTTTTAGCATTTCTTTGCAGAATTAAATGATAAACAACTTACCAGTCAGCTATTCATCTGATACAGCTGCGCATTTTACTCTTCCCTTGTATTAAGGCTCTCGTAAAGGCTTGACAAAATACTCCATGACTCGTAAAACTACACACAGCCGTACCAGATGCTAAGCCGACTGATAACCTCTATATATTTCAGGAATTTACTCATGAGAATTTCGATCCATTGTTTTGCCTCTCAATTTTAGCTGCTCTATTGCTGTATATCCAATTTTATCTTGTCTCTAAAATATTTCATTTCATATTTTTATCTATCATTAGGCTTCTGAAATGGTCATCACACCTCCCCCCTCGGGATTCGCTGATGTTTACTTGGTTAACACTGCAAGCTGCAATGTTCTTGCCTCGATCCAAAATCGTAGCATAGGCGTAAAACCTTTGGGAAAATCAACCAAGCTCCGTCTAAACTTGAAGAAAAATATTACTCTTGGGGTCAAAATGACTTGCAATAAAGGTCTTCAAAGAAACTTTACATTCAAAGTCAACGAAGGGCGATTTTATGATATCTTATTCGGTTACCATGACAACGAACTAATTGGCCACCTAGTGGAACAAGACTTCACATCACCACCACCCCCTGGGGAATCTGAAATTTGTGCAGTTTCGATAGCTTCCGGCGATACTTTCTACTCTCTGCAACTCGATGGTCAAACGAGGATGTCAAATATAACTGCGATGGGTAACCTTAAATGTACCACAGTCCCTGCTAAGAAATACAAGCTTAGCATAAAGAACCAGGATTCGAAAATAGCTAGTAATAATGAAGTTATTTTACAAAATGGTGGAACTAAAGTTGCGGTTTTGAAAGATTCTGGTGGAAATGGGACGCGAGATGTTTTTATTTATGAAGAATTTGATCCGCAAAGTATCTCGATGTTGTGGCAAATACCTCAGTACTTCGTCATCACTAGTGGAGAAATAATGTTTTCTATAACAGGTAGGGAAACGTAGAGTGGGATTCCTGTGTATTATATAACCGGGAGGGACTAGGAGACGGTGAAAATGTTTTTTAATTTGTCTTTGGGCCTAGACAAGATGTCCACTAATATTTTGGTAACCTCCACTCTGTCATTGGTCTACTTGACGATTAGACCCGCGGCCCGAATGGCCTGCAGCCCAAATGGTCTGAGTCAATAGCCCGTGAGGTCGAAGACGTAATGGGCTTATTAGAGAGTTTTAGATTGACTTTTTTTCTCCCCGCAAACGGCAAACGTGATCACGTTTTCATCGTTTTCCTGTATTTTACTTTACCTTTTACAAACCTTCTCACCAAGCGCAAATACTCTTTTGTTTTTCTACTACTTGGACTTTTTTGCGATTCTTTTTCAGTAATTTAAAAGAATTTTTTACTGGTCAACTGACGTTTCACGTTTGCCGTGAACGTAAATCCAAAACTCTCTATTGGCTCGTAGACAATGAGGTCGAGAAGACTAATTGTTTAAGTATAAACCTATCAATAGGTCAAATAAATGAATACAAACAATGTTGTAATTAGGTTGAAATAATTTATTTTTGTGATATTTTGGTTTTTAAAACCGCTACTTTTCGTTGTTAGTCAGTGGTCCAACACTAATAAACCACTAGTGGCTCAGCCAATCAGAGCGTAGAATTTGTGATAGACCATTAGTAGGTTTATACTAAAAGTCAATAGACCATGGTCGGTCTTCGGCTATTGAATCCTAAACCATTCGGGCTGCAGGTCTAATTATTAAATATACATTTTTCAGGCCTCGAATTTGCTTATTCTCAAGCACCGGCGTCCATGAAGTCTTGCCTCCAGGCTGCCTGGTTGATTACAGTTGCCATTGGCAACCTGATCGTCGTCATGGAAGCGGAATCCCGCATCATTGACACCCTTTCAACCGAGTTTTTCTTTTTCGCCGCCATGTTGGGTGTGGTCATGGTCGCGTTTTCGGTCATGTCTTTGTTTTATAAATACGTTGAAAAGACAGAAGATGAAACCGTTGGCGATGACACTGAAGGAATTATAGACATGGATGAACTGAAGACGACTTAATAGAAGGATGGTAGCTAGGAAGGAAGTGTATTTGATCTGAAGATCAAACGATTGATGAAGAGGATTTGATCTCTTCAATTTTAGTGTTGAGTCTTTTACGTCCGCCTTATAGACCAAATTCAAAACTCGCACCGATGTGAGGCTTACGTTGTGAACAAAGGGATCTTGCGTGACTCAAAGTAATCTGGCGTGATTCAAAAGTCACGAATCACGCCAGATTCCTTTGTTCACAACTTAAGCCTCACATCGGTGCGAGTTTTGAATTTGGTCTATACAGGGTTATTTAGTGAAGACAGACGGGGCCTACGGTTTGAAGTCCTTGTCCAAGAAGACTTGAAAGTCTAACCATTTGTAGATGTAGTATTAAAGGCAGCACCTTCTCAGTTTTTAAGACCCTGGGTGTTGGTCAGGCTGTGTCTTGAACCGATACCAACGATTGGACAGCTGTTCTGTTACTGCTGGTGATGTGCACGATGATAACTTTCTCACCGGTTTGAAACCAAAAACAAAGAAAATGTCGCATGGCCGGATTATCAAGATATCAATATATCCAAAAAAAAMCTCTCCCATTAGGTTTTGTTTCCTATTAGTTCTATGTTTCTGAAATGTTCTGGATTTCATAAAAAAATTCTGCTTTTTWAAAATAAAATTTCTTCGACTTTGAAGCTGATAAATAATTAGTAAAAACAAAAAAAGTAGAAGACGGTTTTTTTAGGATTGAAAAAATCGATAAAGACGAAACTAGTTTTCGTAAAGAATATTGAATTTTAATGCGTAAAGGATTATTTTAAAGGTTTAGAACCTCGTATCATGAAAGGAACTAAATCTTTTGGAATCCAAGCAAAGAAAATATTAGTAAAAAAAATTCAAAAATGTTTTCAAAAAAATCTAGCAATGCTGATATCGGCATTTACTAAAAGTAAAAATCAGTTTATTCAAAAATCCTAAAAATCCCATTCAGTAGAAAGAGTTCCTATGGTTATCATGGGAACCGTTTTCTATGCATGAGAGAAAAACGTTTTTTTTTTTAAATTGGAGAATTTTTTAATTTTTAAATTAAAATTGTTCCAGGGGTATCGGCCCACATACTTTCCCGTAAAACTTAAATCCAAACATTYACATTAACGTACTTTTTATTAATGATAACAATATTGATTGAACATAAACATTTTAAAATTTAAAACAAAGTCTATCAAAAATACGACCTATATTTGATTGGCTTTAAAAAGTGATGAGCTTTTGCTCTGATTTRTTTCGGGTGAGATTTTTGCTAATGCTGTGTTGGTTGTCGCGTTGCTTTTCGCTTCTACGTTACTAACGACACCGAGAAGGAAAGAAAATAAGGATTTCAATATGGTCTGCGAAAGTTTCAAAGTCAAAGTTAGTCTTTTACTGCAAAGTTTTCTTATTTTCAATAATTTCAAACACGTCCAATTCCATGAATCTGGCTTCATCAAATTGCCGTTCTTCAAATTCGATGGTGACATCATTCAAGCCATTGCAGTGCCGAATGTTTTTCACTGTTGTTGGAGATGTGATCGTCTACCAGCTTGCTTATCATTGAACATAGCTGACCGGCCGGACGAAGATGGTTTGTATGAATGTCAGCTCCTAACAACATGCACGGCGAACAAATATTCTGGATTGATAAAAACCTCCAAAGACTATCATCACTATACTCGATTGACGGTATGTATGCCCGGCTATAACATCGCAGCATTTTATCTGAGCATGTAACAACCTCTGTGCTGATCTAAGTGAGGGCACGGATAACTCACAGATCGAACCCTGAAACTACCTCTGGGATGATCTAAGTCAGGGCATGGCTAACTCACAGATGGAACCCTGAAACTACCTCTGGGATGATCTAAGTCAGGG